ACACCCGCCTCAGTGCCTGCCTTCCTTCAATGGAGTCAGTCCTGACCTGCATGCCTACTGGCGTGCCCGAGACCAGTTCTTCATTGAGCATGGTGTGTTGTGTCGCCGGTTTGAGGATGACAACCCATGTTCTGAGCCGCTTACGCAGATCCTTGTGCCTCGGCACCTCCGTCCTGAGATCCTCCAGGAGTACCACGACTACGCCGGTCATGCTGGTGTACACCGCACATGTGGTCAACTCCGCCGACGCTTTCACTGGTACGGGTTGAAACGGGACGCTGAAGATTGGGTTGCGAGTTGTGAGTCCTGCAGCAAGAGAAAGAAACCAGTGCACAGAGGACGCGGCGCCCCGCTCCAGGTCACCTGGGCAGGCTCCCCGTTCGAACGAATCGCGATGGACCTGATCCCAGGTCTCCCAGAAACGGCTGGTGGGAATCGACATATCCTTGTGGTTGTTGATTACTTTACCAAGTGGGTGGAGGCGTACCCTTTGAAACGCATGGACGCTAACACCATTGCTTCGGTTTTCGTAAGTGAGTTCGTGGCGCGCTTTGGTGCTCCACAATCTTTGCATACGGATCAAGGCCGAAACTTTGATTCCGCGGTCTTCAAAGAGCTGTGTGCCCTCTTGGGGATCAAGAAAACGCGCACCACGGCTTACCATCCTGCCGGTGATGGTCTGGTCGAACGCTTCAACCAAACGCTGGAGGCCTTGCTCTCCCACTACGTGGCCAGTCACCAACGTGATTGGGACACGCAGCTGCCAGCCATGCTCATGGCCTACCGTGCCACCCCGCAGTCGAGTACGGGTTATACACCTGCTTACCTGCTCTTTGGGCGCGAGTTGTGTTTACCACAAGATGTGGCCTATGGCTTGCCTTCCGCTGACGCCGCTCGTGACGAGCCGTCCTATGTACAGACTCTCCGCCAGAAACTTGCGCATGCGCATTCCTGTGTGCGTAAGAAGCTCGCCTCAGTTCATAAGCACCAAGCCCGTCTTCACGACGCTGGCGCCGTCCCGGTGCGCTTCGCTCCTGGTGACCTCGTTTGGTTGCTGGTCCCCGCCGTCCCGGTCGGTACAGCACCGAAACTGTCCAAACTGTGGCGTGGACCCTTTACGGTACGAGACCGCCTATCGGATGTTGTCTACCGCATCCACACTACGTCTGGTTCTCGTGAGTGCTTCCAGGTGGTCCACGTGAACCGCCTGAAACGCTGCCATGTTCGTCCAGAGCGCTTGGCGACCATCGCTGAGATGGCCGAAGACAACACGTCTACTGAGGCGGCGGGCGATCTGCCGTCTCACTCCGCCCCTCCAGCCTGCCGTGCGTGGGGCACTTCTGCCACACGCCGCACTATGGCTGCTGGCCCCCGTGCTCGCCCACCGACCTCACCATCGTATGCGACAGATGCGACCGATCGTCTATATCATGATGACGTCGATGATAGCCTTGAGTCATTCCCGGAGCCTCGGCTCATGCCAGCCATTCCACAGCCACTGCCGCTTGCTGCCAATGTACCAGCAAGACCGTATCGCATCCGTCGCCCACCGGGTCACCTCGCAAATTTCGTCTGGGGTGCACGCTTTTGAGCTTCACCCAACAGCTAGTAGCTCTGTCAGTATCTGTTAACTAAGCCTCTGTCTCGTCATCAGTTTCCTGCACCAATCTCCCATCTCCTACTGCTACCTGCCTTCGAGTCATTGGCTCTGCTGTTCTACCACTACATCTCATCATTTCATCATACCATGCTGATACCATCACTCACCTATAGTACGATGACATGAACACCAGGACTCCATTCCGTGGCCTGCTGAGCCTCACCAAGTACCCGTCTTACCCAGCCATTGCCACCAGTTACTGGAGTATCAATATTTCTGCTATGTCTTCGTTGTCCGTCCACCCTGCCACTATAGCCGATTCCGTTTAGTGCTGCACTTACACTAGTACTGCTATGATGTCGTCTGTTCTCTACTACCCTGAGTGCACTGTTCCAGTCTACCATCTTGTACTGCCGCCATCTGCTATAGTGTCTACCGTCGAAGTACTGTCTTCCATGTGCCAAATAGTGTCTGCTTAACCATCGTCATGAGTACCGCCCGCACTGATCTCTGTCTGCTACCTGATGTCACCGAGTAAGACTGTCTATGTACGAACAATTGTGCCCTGTATCGTTAGTTCTCTACGTCTGACTTTGCTCCTAAGCCCACCTCTCAAGTACCTACTGAAAACTGTTACTCCGGTTCCTGTGCCTCGGGCACTGAACAATTACATAGTTTGTAGTTCCTCCTTATCTACCGGATGCTTAGCTTCTGATTGCTTCATGGCACTACTAAAAACTAAATAAAAATGTGCCAGTGGTTAGCCCCTTGACCATTCTTTTCTGTTTAGGCATAGCTCATCAGCACTCTTCCTGTCTTGCTGTTTTGATTCTGCTTCGTGCCTGTTTGCATTGCACATTTTTTTTTCTTTCTTTCCCTTTTTTTTCCCCCACAACATTAGAACCTGTTCGGAATGCCCCAGGTTGGTGCGAACATAGCCTACGAACTGTATTCCCCACTGTTAGTTGCAGCTTTAGCTTCCCCAGTTTAGTTTTGGTTCGCAGTCTGACGCTTTGTTCCCTTCTGCTCACACCCTCTTTGGAACTACTGCGATGTTTAGTTTTCTCTTATTTTAGCCCTTTTAAGTTGCTCTCTTGTGTTGTTTCTTCCCGTCACGAGGACGTGACCCTTTTCTTTGTAGCCGAGGGAGATGTCATGGCCCTGTATAGATAGTACTACTCACCAATACCACTATAGTACTGCACACATTCACTATCAGCCTGGCGCCTACCTCTACCGCAGCCCCTCATCAATGCCCATTAGAGTATTGTTCTCTTCCTTTTGATTACGATAAGCTAACCTCTCTGTCGCCGGACCTAGACTATCCATTACCATAGAACTGTCGTCTATTGCCTCTGTTGCCGGTCCGCTGGTCTGCTGTTCCGCTTTGCTACTCCAATTCCTCATTAGCAATAGTTAGTTTAGCGCAGCTCACAGCTCGTTCGCTGCTATCACTACCCTACCTTCCAATTCCCCGATCTCTATTCTTTCCTTTACTCTCTTTTACTATATTAGAACCTGCTTTCCCTTTTAGTCCTTGAGAGAGAGTTTGACCCAACTGAGTGAGCGCAACATCCTTCCTCACTATTGAACCTGAACTGAATCCACAACTAACTGCTTGTGCTTTGTGTTGTCCGTTACGCTTGGGTTTGGGGCTAAGAAGTGCACATATATTTTGTGCCAACGGACTTCGGGTTACGGAGTTACGTAGGGACGACACTCAGCCTTAGGCCACTACACACACAAAACATTACGCGCATCGATCCTCACAAGATAAGTCAAGACATACTCGGAGCAAAGAGAAATTTGTTTGTGTCATGCATGAAACTTGTGATAACTACCAGTACAATGTCTTTCTTGTGCGACGCCTACTGTAGTGCGCCTGACAACAATAAATTTCCCCCAAAAAATAAGAATAAGTGTATCATGCTGATACGCGATCCTCATAAGACAAGTCAAGGCAAACTAATTGAGGCTTACCTAATGTCAGACTCTTCTGTCACTGGCATTGGCGGCTTCTGCATGTCGAGATAACCTCGAAGAGCAGTGATGAGCACAGCCTAATGCAAGGATACGATCTCGTAATCTGCGAGGTCCGCTACGCAAGAAACCTTGGGCCGTCTCAGTGTCGACAGCGACGGCAGCATCCTACCAGCAAAATCATTCCCGCGGGCTGGGCATGGCTATACACTTTTGTCCACGCTCGCACCAGTCGGAGTCCCAAACGAATCGAGATTCTGGTGGCCAAGCTACTCGTCTTCTGTCGGACGCAGCTGCTGACGCATCTTCTTCCTCCACATTTGTTACACGCGATGGCAGCTCCTCAGCAGAGTATCTGGGCTCCCTGCCCCAACCATACGCGGCGGTGGGCTGTTGGTCGTCCTCACTGGCCTCAGCATCGCTGCCTTCATTGCTGGGGACAGAGGATTGTTCGGAATCGCCCATCTTCCCTTGAAATACCAACTAAAATTAGTGCTTGTAGACTGGCGAAGAGAAACGACTTTGCCACAATGACGTAGGCAGCCCGTGATGATGTAACCAAATGGCCGCATGACGTCAGGGCGCGGCCCCCGTTTTTGCAATTTCAAAGTGAAATATCTCAAGAACGCTTCGTCGTAGAGACTTCGGACCAAGACCATTCGACTCAGCGCCCGAAACTCTACAGGCTATCAAAGTTTCATTTTTTCGTGGAGTTCCCCTTTAAGAAAATCAGATTTTCAGCTCAGTGTAATCAAAAGGTCTAGGAGCATGCACCACCAGCCAAACATATGCAAACTATGACCAGAACCATTTCAAAACTGGAAATGAAATACGTATTTAGATACAAACCACAAGTAAAATGAATCCATGTTTGGATATTATCCAAAAAGTGATGAAATGGATTTATTGGGGTTTTGCATTCCAGCTCTTCATGTCAAGTATTCTCATTCACAGATAAGGAAGAACTTTCATTGATCCCGGTCAGTGCTTTTTTACACATCATGTAATGGAACTGACATCCTGTTCCACCCAGTCTTCCACTTCCCCTACAGTTTACACTGGCCCGCCTGAAGCAGTTTTTGATTGGTCCGGTAGTGTCATGGCCTTTTTATACTGTCTATGTGTATGATAAAGTGGGTACACATGACCGCCCCAGTAGGAAACATGTGCTGATGGCCAAAAAGCTGGTCCGGTAATAACCCGACCAACCTGACTGGTTCCGGCGGGCCTGGTTTATGCGATCCCTTGCAGCCCTATAGGGCACTGGCCTAGAAAGACAGGATTTCAGGGTTCGAATCGGCCCATGTGTCCTTCTGTTGCACTGATAGAAGAATCCATTGTGCTAACTAAGCACCCTGCAGCTGGATTTAGTTATATTTTGCAGATTTCTCCTTGTCTTCCAACTTCGTGTGGCCTGCAGGAGTGTCGCTATTGCAATACTCAGTGTACCGGGGGATGTCACGGCCCAGCGGCTACCGAGTGCACTTTGTGTAAAAACAACTTCAGGACGGTGTCAGGATCCAAACTGAGACAATGCGTCCAGAGCTGTGATGCCGCTCAAGATTACATTTCTCAACATGAATGTCTTAGCTGCAATATGCAGTGTTCCGGTGGATGCAATGGCTCCTCCGCAATGGACTGCACGGCTTGTAAAACAGCTTTCCAAATTCAGGATGGTGGCAAAAGACTGTGCTTGGCCAGTTGCCCACAGAAGACTTTCTCCAAAACTGTTGGTCTGCTACGCCAATGTGTTGATGAATGTGACACCGGTATGTATAACAACACGGATGGCGTATGCCTACCCTGTCACGAGCAGTGCGCCAGTTCCTGCATAGCCAGTGGCAACAGTGTGCTTAGTTGCGCAGGGCTGTGCAAATTCTTTGCCGAGGAGGGGAACTGTGTGCAAGAGTGTGGTGCATCGTATCGAGCCGATGAAGAAACAGGGGAGTGCGTGGGAGCATCCAACGAGGAGCCAGACAATGCACAGGAGCAGAAACCCTCGTAAGTTTACAGGTACTGAGTAGTGCATGGTGCAGTTAATCTTTTTCCCAGCGCACATGCCGCTACCTTTGCCTCAAGTTCTGGGAATCAAATATCTCACTAGGATCTTCATTAGAATCGCTGACCCTTTGGATAACGTTTGATATCGAAAGTGATGCCATATAGAATGACGTATGTTGTTGTTGTTGTTGTTGTTGTTGTTGTTGTTGTTGTTGTTGTTGTTGTTGTTGTTGTTGTTGTTGTTGTTGTTGTTGTTGTTGTTGTTGTTGTTGTTGTTGTTGTTGTTGTTGCTGTTGCTGTTGCTGTTGTTGTTGTTGTTGTTGTTGTTGTTGTTGTTGTTGTTGTTGTTGTTGTTGTTGTTGTTGTTGTTGTTGTTGTTGTTGTTGTTGTTGTTGTTGTTGTTGTTGTTGTTGTTGTTGTTGTTGTTGTTTTTGTTGTTTTTGTTGTTGTTGTTAACACGGGAAAACATGAGCCAGGGACTACAGAAACCACCCTATGGCACTTTTTTGGCGAAAAAATTTTTTTTCTCTCAAAATGTTGGTATGGTATGGTAATGTGCTCAAACAAAATTTCAAGTTGATCTGCGATGGTAAAATGTGCCTAACCACCTATTTAATAGTGGCATATCAATTGAGCAATATAGAGCAAATTTATGTACACAGTATGTAATGATGTATTCATGTAATGAATTCAGTTTAGCGTAGGCGCACATCTCGCAACTACGTATCTGCTGCGCTACAGCGCCCTCTACGGTTCTGGCCGCGGCACTTGTTTAGCGCGCCTTGCCGCGACCGGCAAGACCGCCTGCTGTGCATCACATTAATTTATGCGTACGCCATCACAATAATTAATTCAGTTTTGATCGGGTCCGAGTCCGCAACGTGGCACATCTCCTTGCCATTCTCAGTTTTGAGTCTTCTCTGCTTTGGCTCATGCCCGACTTGCATCCTGCTGCCTTTGTCTTTTGCTGACCGAACTGTCATTGCCTAGTCATGTCGGGCACCAGGAAGAGAACCCGTCGCGCAGCACCTAGCCCTGTTCCCGACCCACCTGTTTCTTCGGCTGCGGACCCCGAGCTGCCGAGTAACGCTGCCTCACCACTCGACGGCGGACAATTCAAGCAATTTATATCTGACGAAGTCCAGAAAGCCGTCACCGCCGCCCTGGCAGAAACGGTCTCCCCACTGCTTGCCACCATCGGATCCTCGCAGCCTTCCCCCGCCATGGCCGGACCCACCGGAAATGCTGCGCCAACTGGTCCGGGTGCTGGCTCTCTATCTCATCCACTGAACGTGCCGTCTCACGTGAGAGAGAGGATTTTGCGAGGTGAGTGTGTTGATTTGAATACACTGTTACCGGAAGCTCTTGGGGCACCAAAGCGTGACACGATTCAGTTGAATTTCAGTGGGTCCAGGACTGTTGAGCTGCTGGATCCCAGCTCTGGCGGGCATGTCGAGAAAGTTCGTAGGCATGTTCACGACCTGGTTACATGGCTAGAAGCCTGGTCCAGATATATGTTCGTACTATGCTCGCACGCACCCAGCCGTTTCTCCGAACTGATGGCATATCAGGCCACCATTGTATCGGCCAACTCCTCATACTATCCGGAGGCCTGGCTCGAATATGACCGGGAGTTCCGTCTGGCAATCTCTCTTGACCCCAGTAAGCGTTGGGACGCCATTGACGGCAATCTCTGGCAACTGAAAATGACAGGCCGCTCACGCCCGCAGTGTAGCACATGCCGGATCACTCACCCTCCATCGGGTAGCCAGTGCCCTTTTCGTGCCTCCCGAGTACCAAACCAGCAGTTTGCACCACGGTCTGCCTACACCAAGTCTGGCAAAGAGATCTGCCGGAATTTCCAGCAAGGTCGATGCTCCAACACCGACTGTAAATTTGCCCACGTCTGCTCCCAATGTGAGGGCGCACATGCCCGCCCCTCCTGCCCGCGTCGCTTCTCCACTGGCAACCAGCGGCAGAACAAAGCTTAATGAACTGCATCTCGATAGTAGCATTCTCCGGACACACCCTACATTCTTTCACACTTGCCGCACACCTATTCACGTTAATCGCCTCCGTTCCTTACTGCGTGCACACCCCGATCAAGCTTTTGTTAAATATGTACTTCATGGCCTTACGTATGGTTTTGACATCGGCTTCAATGGCCCACGCCAAAGCAGCATGTTCTCCCCTAACTTACCTTCTGCGAGGATGCATCCCGATTTTATTACCAAATACCTGCAAGAATGTTGCTCCCGCTTTGAACTGCTAGGTCCTTTTTCCTCCTCGCTTTTTCCTTTTTTTCATTGCTCCGGTGTTGGCTGCGTTCCGAAAAAGAACGGCCGCTTCCGTTTAATCCACCATCTCTCTAGCCCAGAGGGTCAAAGTGTTAACGATGGAATTTCACGTGAAGATTTCAGCTTGCATTACATCACTATTGATCACGCGATCGATGCCATTATGCAGTACGGTCGTTCTGCTTATCTTTTCAAACTTGACATTCGGAGTGCTTTCCGCATTGTACCTGTGCGGCAGGAAGACTGGCCTCTGCTAGGTATTCACTGGCAAAACCAATATTATTTCGACACTGTGCTCCCCTTTGGCTTACGCTCCAGCCCTGCCATTTTTAACTCTATTGCCGACTGCCTTGAATGGATTGCTCGCTATGAGTTTTCTATTACTGACCTGCTCCATTATCTAGATGATTTCCTTTGCATTTCTCCATCGGAGCTGGTGGCGAACCAACGTGCTTCAATCCTGCTTCGCTGTTTTAACTATGTCCAAGTCCCCTTGGCACCTGACAAAGTGGAAGGTCCAGCTCAAGTGCTGTCGTTCCTGGGCATCGAGCTGGACTGTGGCAGACTGGAGGCCCGGCTACCAGACACCAAGTTGCAAGATCTCCGCACCTTGCTCGACCAGTATGTCAACCGTGGCGACATGACCCAACGCGAACTCGACTCACTATTGGGAAAACTCTCCTTCGCAGCTCGGGTAATTATACCTGGTCGGACATTCATGCGCCGACTCTGGGATATTTGTCACCGCTACAGTCAGCCACACTATAAGATCAAACTCTCAGTCGAGGCCCTGGAAGACCTGAAGTGGTGGCAACGCCTCCTCTCGCAATGGAACGGAAAGTCCTTCTTTCATATGCCAAATTGGACCCCGTCTCCCGACATCCAATTGTTTACTGATGCCAGCGGTTCGATCGGCTGGGGCGCATGTTATGGCCATCGCTGGATCCAGGGACAGTGGTTGCCGGAACAAGCCGACTACTCCATCGAGTGGAAGGAGATGTTCGCCATTGCCGCAGCTTGCTCCTCCTGGGGCCTTGAATGGCGCAAGCTCCGCATACTCGTGTACTGCGATAACGAAGCCGTAGTAGCATGCCTGTCCAATGGTTGTAGCCGCTCCCCCCCAGTCATGGACCTGATACGACGGCTGTTCTTCATGTGCGCTAACTTTGGCTTCATTCTGTCAGCAAAGCATATTCCAGGATGCACTAACAAAGCCGCTGATGCTCTGTCTCGTTTTAACATGCAGGCGTTTCGCGAGGCGGTTCCGGGAGCTCGGGCGACAGCCGACCTGTTCCAGTCATTCTAACTGCCGCGGACGAATTAGCAGCACGATATGCTGCTCACGCTCTATCCGACAACACCAGACGAACGTATTCCGCCGGCGAATCTAAGTATCTCAAGTTCTGCCAACTTCAAAGATGGTCCCCGTTTCCCGCTTCAGACCTAATGCTGAGTAGTTTTGCTGCCTCCCTAACCCAGTCGGTCAGACCAGTGACTATTAAGGTTTACCTCAGTGCTATCAAGAACCTGCACCTGGAGCTCGGTTATGTCGACCCGACCGAGGGCGCGCACTTCCTCAAGCGAGTGGTACGCGGTATTTGCCGTTGCCATGGAGTAGCCGCTGTCCGCCCCAGGCTGCCAATCACGTTTCCTATTCTCTGCAGTCTGGTTGACACCTGCCTAGCTGCTCCAACCATGTGCCCTCACGACAAGCGCTGCCTGCATGCCGCTATGCTTGCCGTGTTCTTTGGTTTCTTCAGATGCGGTGAACTGCTAGAAGCACCTACCACGCGCGGCTGTTTGACATTCGAGTCAGGGATGCTCCATGTGCACCTACCACGCTCGAAGACAGACCCGTCCGGGGAAGGTACGACGGTGCTGATCGGGCCAGCGGTGCCGCCATACTGCGCTGTGAGAGCCATGCTCACCTACCTCACTGCAACCGCCTCTGCTCGTCCAGGCAGTGCTGTGTTCATCCTGGCCAACGGGCAACGCCTCAACCGCAGCACTTTTACAGCCCACGTACGCACGCTGCTTAGCACCAGCGGCGTGGCAAACTGGCAGGACTATGCAGGCCACAGCTTCCGTATCGGGGCCGCTACCACTGCTGCCCTTGCTGGCGTCCCCGACCACCAGATCCGCTCCGCGGGACGGTGGCGCAGTGATGCATGCCTACGCTACATCCGGACACCACCGTCATCGGCCCGAACGCTGGCCAGCAAACTATCCTCAGTAAGATCATCTCCCTGACACCGATGTTTCTCAATTCACACAATTCCCTCATAATGAACTATGCTATGCTGCACTGCAATACTGTTGTGTATGGGTATGTACTGGCGGTATGGCGAGTCACTCATAACTGGTCTGCCTTTCTATTGCGGCATTATGGCCTTATGGTCCTGCCTTTCCATTGCGGCAATCACAGCCTCCGGGCTTCTGCCTTCCTGCGGCAATCACAGCCTCCGGGCTTCTGCCTTTCTGCGGCACTCGCAGCCTCACGGGCTCGTGCCTACCTTGCGGCAAAGACCAACCAGTTCCTCGTCACCAGTACTTACCCAACACAACCTAGCCTTATTCGTGTGGTGTATGCCTGTCTGCATGCCGTCTGTGTGCGCGGAATGCTAATGATGTATGCCTGCCTGCATGCCGTCTGCGTGCGCGGAATGCTAATGATGTATTCATGTAATGAATTCAGTTTAGCGT